TACAAGGGCATTAAAAGCCCAATGCCCACTGGGTAATACTCACTGGTTATTAGGTTTGAAATTTTTATCTCCCTCCAACGGATGGATTTTTCCACCTATAAATACCTCTCTTCACCATTGAAGAAGGGGCTGGTTAATTCACTCTTGCAATCAAAAGAAAAGCTCTTTAAGCAGTCTCATCTACAAAAGCTTTTCATAACCAGTGATCTTGTGAAGTTTTCAAAGGCATGTTCTTCTACATACTTCACAACTTGAAGCAGTCTTGTAATTTCTCAAGTGAAGATTAATCCAGACATCAAGACAAGCTTCAACCTGTTGGAGAAACATCTGATTATCTTTCCAACATCTCAACTTATGAAGAAGTTGATAGAGGCGGAGTAAACTCGAGGAGTTGAAAATCTTTCAAGTGGCTGTCCGGCTTAGTGATCAAGGAAGCCAGCTTGAAGTAGTTTGTACTAGGAGTGATAGTGCAAACCCTTTCATGGGTTGTGAAAGAAGAGTGGAGTAGGCTTCGTTAACAGCCGAACCACTATAAAAATCTCTCTCTCTCTCTCTCTCTCTCTCTCTCTCTCTCTCTCTCATCTCTTTACATTCAGCTATTACTTTCGTGCATTGTATATCATATCATATCGACCAAACGCTAAGTTTTTACTAACACGAAAGTGTGCAAAGAATAATTAAAACAGAATACCATTTCCACTGTGCATATCTCCGAAAGGAGATTCTTTGAAAAAGAATCGATTAGTCTATTCATCCCCCCCCCCCCTCCCCCCACCCTCTAGACTCTCTTTGACCTACCGGGACCAACATGTATTATATGAGATACATATGGATCTGAACTCATTGACTTCCAGAGGAAATAGTCATGCAATGGGTAAACTATTTTGAGAATACTTTGCACAGAAAAGATTATTACTACGTTATTGCATGACTATGCTAATTATATGGCAATTAAAAAAGGAAATGAATATTAATAATTGACTGAAAATTAAAAATGATCCCGATTAACTATTTCGAAAAGGAAACGAATTAACAATAGTATAGGTAAATTAAAAAAAAAAAAGAATTTATTATTAATAATTCATTGAAAATATTTTTTTAAAAAACCTGTTATTAATAATTAACCAATTCATATGTATTTTAAAAAAAAAAAAAGTAATTGACTATGATTAAAAATAACACATAAATTAGGCCAATTGAAAAAGAAAATGAATATTCCTATTTGACTCAAAATTTTAAGTGATCCCCGATTAACTATTTCAAAAAGAAAACGGATTAACTATAGTATATGTATTATATGAGATACATATGGATCCGAGCTCATTGATTTTCTAGAGAAAATAGTAATGCAATGGGCAATGGTCAATTGTATGTGGCTTTTTCCCGAGCCACCCATCCAGATGGCCTAAAGGTGTTAGCTCTAGACGATGATGGACAAGTTTCCGTTTCTACTAGCAATGTCGTCTACAAAGAGGTTTTCAATAATGTGTAATTCCAACCAGTGATATTATGTTTTCTTTTTATGTAAAGATAACAAAATTGGTATATATCTACACAAAAAATATATCTTCCATACAAATAAATTTGGATAGCAAATGATTTATATAACTGAGTTGCTAGACAAAGAGCAAATTTGCCACTTAATACAAATCCTAAACACTAATATATAAAATCTCTAAAGTTTCAACACCGGATGCGTACATCTACACGTTAGCTATTAATTGGGCAATAATTTGCTCGAATTCAAACAATGATAACATCCGAAAATATAGTCGATACAACTCAATTCTTCAATTGCATTATATAATATTCGATGTTATAATTTATATAATTGTATATTGATCCAAATATTCTTAAAATATTATAACGAATCCATTCCGTGCATCACACGGGTGAAAATACTAGTTTATTAAAATGAAAAATTCTTCTTACCCATTCTAATTTTCCCTCCTAAATTCCTCCCATGGCATGTTTTATAATTGTTAGGAGTGAGTAGCATTACTCTAGTCAAATTTTACTTTGGATCATGGTCCATGTAGCAACATGAACCATAAAGCAAAACGATGTTATATCATTTTAATTACACTTCAGTCTCATTTGAAATGTACACTAATTTTATTATAACAAAACTAAAATGTCATTTTAATTTTATTACAATTTCATTTGATAATATACATTATTGCATGAGATCTATTTTTGTATGTAGTTTCATTTTGTTATTGTTTTTAAGCGTGCTTATTGCTTCCTTATTTGAACCAATATCTGGGCTACTTTAGTGGATCTGATTGTTTGACAGTGGATTGAGAGTTTCAGACTATTGGCCTAACCTATTGCCCAATATCCCATATTCCCAATTTCCCATTATATACTTATTAATAACAAAAATTAATCAAGCGCAAATGGTTCCATGGTCTAGTGGTTAGGACATTGGGCTCTGAATCCAGTAACCCGAGTTCAAATCTCGGTGGAACCTTTTTAAAAAGTGTTTTGTCCTGTGACATAAAAAAGTGTCTTTCTCCCGAAAAATATCAAACAAATATCAATTTTATACGGAGTAATATTTTTCAAAAGAGTTTCTTTTTCTCCTTTTTGATCCCCCAGTTATTGTACTTTTAATATATATATATATAGAATTAATTTCACTTTTGGTCCCACGACTTTTGATGTTCTATCACTTTTGGTGCACAACTTTAAAATTTTTTAATTTTGGTGCCTAACTTTGTTATTTTTATCAATTTTGGTCTTTTCGGCCAAATTGACAGCGAAATGTTGTTGGATTTTATATTGTTAGGGGTAAAATCGTCATCCCAAGGAAACATCTTCAATATCTAAACAAAATCACCGTAAAATCATATCTATAGGTGTTTGATGATGAGAATAATGGGGAAGATGGGCAGAAACCAAACAGATCTATGGGATTTATAGTTTCGACCATTGGCAAACTCTTCTTTTCCTCTTAATATGATTTTTCTTTTGTTTAAATATTGAAGATCTTTCCATGGGATGACGATTTTGCCCCTAAAATATAAAAATCTGGAAATATTTTATCGTCAATTTGGCTAGAAGGACCTAAACTGATAAAAATAACAAAGTTAGGCACCAAAATTGAAAAAATTTAAAGTTGTGCACCAAAAGTGATAAGAACTCAAAAGTCGTGGGACCAAAAGTGAAATTAATTCTATATATATATATTGAAATGAAAACCTATGTTAAGATGTGAACATGAAAATGAATTTGGATCATTTATCTAGACTAGTGGATGGTGTATATATCTATAACACAATGCACACTGTATTGCAAACACAATTCATACATGTGCATCATGTTTTGGTTTGACTTTTTGCATGCACCATGTTCTAGGTCGTAGGATGATGTAACATTAAGAATGTACACAGGTTCTCAGGTTCACAGAATAAAGTAAGTTCTCACTTGAAAATAAACATACACACACACATAGACAACAGGTGACGACATAAAAATTGATCACTAATTTTATTAGTGACCAAAATCTATAGGTTTGGTGACAAATTGTGTTGTCATTAAATATGAAATTTATTGTAGTGTTAGAAGCGTTCGAGGTAGTGAGTACGAAACACCTATTGGTGGCTTCTGTTCTAGTGTTGGTATCGTACACAAGCACACGACACCCTAAGGCACATCAATTGAACGGTGTTGCTGAATACAAGAATCGCACATTGAAAGATATGATGAATGCGATGCTTATAAGTTCCAACCTACCTCAAAATATGTGGGGTGAGGCGATTTTGACAAGTAATTACCTTTTAAATAGGGTACCCTGCAAGAAACTTGATAAGACTTCCTACGAGCTGTGGAAAGGTAGGAAGCCTTCCTACCAATATCTCAAAGTGCAATCGTTATGCTATGGACCCATGTCCAGCATGTATTGTGGACACGGTAACGGTGCCGTTAGTGGCACCGTTATCTTCCACTTTTTTTTTTTTTTTTTTTTTTTAAATTTCAGACCGCTTCGTTATAGGAGTATATGTTCATAATTTTATCACTATATGTTCATAATTGTAAGTTCATAATGTTAGAGCTCTGTGTTCATAATTCAATAACTGTACATTCATACTTCAATAAGTGTACATTTATAATTCCGTAACTGTACATTCATAATTCAATAACTGTAAATTCATAATTTTCGAAACTCTATATTCACAATTTTAGAGCTCTATGTTCATAATTTTATCACTATATGTTCATATTGTAAGTTCATAATGTCAGAACTCTGTGTTCATAATTCCATAACTTTACATTCATAATTCCATAACTGTACATTCATAATTCTATAACTGTACATTCATAATTCCCTAACTGTACATTCATAATTTCATAACTATACATTCATAATTTTCGAAGCTCTATGTTCATAATTTTATCACTATATGTTCATAATTGTAAGTTCATAATGTCAGAGCTATGTGTTCATAATTCCATAACTTACATTCATAATTCCATAACTGTACATTCATAATTACATAACTGTACATTCATAATTCCATAACTTTACATTCATAACTCCACAAACGAATAACGCCGTTAACGGCGAGACAAAATTAACTTTTTTTAACTGATATGCCGCGTTTTCCCTAAAAACGACGTCGTTTTGGACTCATGTCCACAATGCATGACTTGTGTCCACAATGCATTATGAACATGAGTCCACAGCATAATTTGCGCTCAAAGTGTGAGAGTGTCTTGTCAAAGAGCATATATTATTGGGGCGGAATATTGGTGGGCCCAAACCAACATTCTATTGTTGAAATGTGACGCTAACGATTACACAAGTATAATAATAAAATAAAATTGTCTGTTTTTTACTAGTTATAATTTATGAAATAATAATAAATATTTTTTTTACTACACATATATGAATTTACTTGGTACAAAACAGTATAGTACGGAGTAGAAATTACATGAATTATATAGAAAAAGGGGGTCAAAAATCAAATAGAAAGAGGGATTTTTATTTTTATTTTCCTCTTCTTTCCGCTTGTATTCTGGGTTCAATATTTATTTTGCCCTAAATTACTGTAAATTCAGTCCAGTCGACGACGAAAGTCCCCAGAGCTCCGCCGGGAATCAGCGAAGATGGCGTCTTCCTCAAATACTCTACGGGACCTGCAGCGTGACCTAGAAAGCAAAGCTAACGATCTCAGCCAGCTACAAAAAGGCAATCTTCTCCATCCTTTTCTTCCAATAAACCCTAGTCTCTGTCTTCTATGTTTGCTCAAATATGCGTTCTCCTGTGTTTCAGATATAGCCAAAAACCACCAAGTCAGAAAGAAGTACACCATTCAGCTCGGTGAAAACGAGCTTGTCCTTAAGGTCGCTTGCGTTCTATGTTTCATGTATTGATAGTTTCTGGTACTTGGGATTATCAATTTTATTTGTTTACCTTTTTTTGGGAATGAAGGAATTGGATCTGTTGAATGAAGAAGCGAATGTGTACAAACTGATCGGGCCCGTGCTGGTAAAGCAGGACCTGGCAGAGGCCAGGGCCAATGTCAAGAAGCGAATTGAGTACATCTCGGCCGAATTGTATGTTACGGAGTATTTCTTTTGTTTGGTTATTGTTAGTTTCAAATGTGTTGTGATTCTAATTGCATTTTCCATTAATTTGGGTGCTTGCCTTTGTGTGCATATTGTCTTGAACCTACCTTGTACATGTAGAAGCAGGAAGTATAAGGCTTAGGTTGGAGTTATAAAAGAGGGGGCCTTGTTTGCAATTTTCGGGAAAAAAAAGGGAATTGTGCCCACTGTTTAGCTGTAAATTTTTGTAAAATTAGGTGGGGTTTACATTGATGAAATGTGATTTGGGGGGAGGTGGGGGGAGGAATTGGAGTAAGTTATAATTTCGTGTTCGTTTTGGTTTTGGGTGTGGATGATACTCACGAGATTTTTGTGTACTTGTATTTTGGGGGGGGGGAAGGAGCAAGATAACAGTAGGCAATTTTCATGCACTCGTGCAATAGCTCATACCCCATTATAAAAACATTGAGTTGTTGGAAGATATTTATTCATTTCCTTCCATCCTCTGCTCTGATCCTTGCTTTGTGGTTCTGATGTAAAATCTTTTATGCTCCACTGTTTTTGCAACTTAAAGTTTGAATTCATGCTGCCTGTCTGGAACTTTAGACCGATAGACAAAGAGCTTGGTGCTACCAACTGAATCCTTAATTACAGTAAAAATCCTATCTTCTATAGCAGCATAGTTTTGAAAAGTTAGGTTCTTTCATGCTTTCTTTGGGTAGTTTAAGAACTTCTGGTTTAGCTGTAGATACAAGTTTCTTGACTGTAAGGTATGTGACTACTCTATTACAATTGAATAAAGCACACTTTGTAAAGTTAGAGTTGGATTGAAAATGGAAGGAGGGTTTGAGATAATGGAATGGGATATAGTAATTGTGACCTTAAAGTAGAAGAAATAGTTCAACCGGCATTTATGTAGGCTACAGGAAAAGACATGCTCACTATGAGTAACTCTCCTATGATACCGTCTAACGGATAAGGTATCCATGAGACGGGTCGTGTCAATATGGAAATGTAATACTAATCAGGAATAAAGTGTCCCTTACTTATAAGGGAAAGTGTAATACATCTTGACATGACCTGTCTCACGGATAAGAATCTGTGAGACGGTCTCACGCAAGTTTTTGCTGCTCACCATAACTATTTTTTCTCCGCAGTGTTTCATATATAACATACTCTGTAGTCCACAAGTTCTGACTTATTGCATATTTTATTTTGTAGTCTATTTGCAAGTTAAGTACTACATTAGTGGATTTAGTGCTTGTACTAAATTAAAATGCTCTATTTAGTCCCTATACCATGAAGTTGGTAATTCTTATCTCTGTGCTATCAAAATTATAACCAAGTAAAATTATAAACTAGCCATGTAAGCAGACTTAACAGTCTTGCTGACATTGTTTTAATTTTACTTAATTGTTGCATTTTTAGTAGTCGAGAGATTAAAATTTACCAACTTAATTTTATAGGCAATAAAGTCACTAAATTATACATTTAACAATTGTATTGCTCAAGGACTAATGTAGTACTTAAACCTTTATTTACATCTATACTTAACTTTCAAACTGCACAATTAGATTATTTACAAATTCATTTGATTGTTTCCTAACAGGAAGCGTTTGGATGCCACCCTTCAAGATTTAGAAGAAAAGCAAAACAGCAAGAAAGAAACGGTAACTTTTGCATTTATGTTTCATGCGATTGCATTTATAGGAACTGCTTTTCCATGGTCAGTATAATATAATATAAATATATAATGCATTTGCTGTTGATTTTAACTGACCAACAGAGGTAACATCTGGCAATTTGGAAGGAACTTAGTAGTACAAAGTATAATTAAAAATTTAAACTTTGACTGGTGGGGTCCACAGAACACGTACAGTTTGATGCGTTTTGTCTGTCATATAAGTTAAAGTAATATCAGAAGGACTAATTAACGTTAAGAAATTTGAGCCATAAAGAGTTAAAAGTGCTGAGCCTGGAAATATGGAGGGTATTTTGCCTCTTCGTCTTTAGTAAAGAGTACATTTTTTTTTTCTAGTTCATACCAAATGCAGCATTTTCAATTCTAGTAAACTTCATGTGTGGTTAAGGTTGTCTATTACTTTTTTTTTTGGCCTTAACCCAACAGGCAACAGGTAAAGTTATTAAATAGTCCGGAATTACCAAACCACCCTCCAGTTTTCATTCTGATCCGATATTCCAAAAATTTAGAGTTCACCAAGATTCTCTCTGGAAAAAGTAACAGTTGGAAGCTCATAATAACATGTTTGTGTTGTGCACTGCAGATCTTTAAATTACAACAACGAATTCAATCAACCCAGGCAGGAAAAAGCAAAGCGTAATATACCGGCAAGCTTGAAGATTATGTAGCTGCTATTTTTGATTGCTGTGGCACATGAATATCATTCTCTCCCAGTTGACATTTGCAGTGATGCACAGTAATCAAATCTGTGTTATTTTTAGTTTTTAAGATCTCGGTATCTTGGGGTTGGGCCTTCCATTGATTTCAGTTGTATGGAACAGAGTACATTTAGTTCATCTGGACAAACGTTATGTGTGAAGCTTCTTTCCTTATTATACTAAAACTATTGAAGTTTTGGCTTGTGAAATTTAAGATTTTAGGCATGGTAGTGTCAAGATTTGTATGAGAATGCTTCATGGTATAATGCTATGTATGGCCAATGTGGGGGGTAAAATTGTAATAAAATTAGTAATTTAATATTCTTAGAAATGGTAAATAAGCTATCAACTATTTAAAATTTTCATTTTAGAAGGCATATTAATAAGAAAAAGTCTTGAGGTCATCAATTGTGGTTTGTGCAATTAGATCACACTAAGGATCTGTTTGGGAACTCGAAAAATAATTTCCGGAAGTCAATTTTTAAATATTTTTGTGTTTTAGTTATTATTCATGAATGAAAAATAAAGTCAAATGAAAATATTCGCATTCAAAAAAAAAAAAAATGAAAATATATATTCTCGGCAACGGAAAATTTTAATTTGGTGAAAAATTACTCTCTAGATTTTGTCGTAAGATACTTTTTGATTTTTTTAGTTTTATTTATTTATTTATTTTCTCTCTTATCTCTTTTCAAGTTAATTTTTAGATTATTATTATTATTGCTACCACCACCATCACCGCTACATAATCACATCCCCAACCACTACAACCAACACGTCACCACCACCACATCACCATAGCTACCACCACAACTATAACCACCATCACCACCACTAGCACTACACCACCCCCATCTGAGCAACCACCACTACTAATTATTACTCCATTTGTCCCATTTTATGTGTCTGATTCGGTTAACGATGTTTAACTAAAGTTATGTTTAATCCAATTTTTCATAATATTAAGTTCAGTATTAGTATATAAAGTTTATATATTAATAAACTACATTAAAAGTACTATTAAGCACACAAAAATTAAATTTAAAAATAAGTAAAAAATACTAAAAAAATAAACAAAAAAGAAAGAGTTGTTCTAACCAATTAATAGTAAGACATATAAAATAGAACATTATTATTATTATTATCATTATTATTATTATTATTATTATTATTATTATTATTGTTCAAATTATGTGGCTCTAATTAATGCATGAAGACTTTTTCTTCAACCTTCCGCATCGCATGCTGTCCACCTCTCTTGCACGTTATCCGCCTTCTAATCTCCTCCTTACTATTGCCGCATAGCTCTCATTTTTGTTGTATAAATAGTGTCATAGCTTTGTAATTAAGGTATCATCAATATTGAATTCTTTCTTCCTTTCTCACGTATGCATTAATATATATATATATATATATATATATATATATATATATATATATATATATATATATATATATATATATATATATATATATATATTTTTTTTTTTCCACTTTATTAAATTCTTTCTGTCATTTATATATTTTCCCTATTATTTAACTTCTATAATTCTCACTTTTCGATTCTTTGCTTCTGCATTATTCCGCTATATTCCTAACAAGTGATATCAGAGCGGTTTAATTGAGAATTATTTTCAAAAATGTCGACTGTCACCAAGTTCGATATCGAGAAGTTCGACGGAAAAATTAGCTTTTCTATCTGGAAGGTTTAGATGGAAGCCGTTCTAATCCAGAACGGTTTGAAGAAAGCGCTAGCTGGTAAGAAGAAGAAACCGGCTGCAATGACAGATGAAGATTGGGAAGATTTGGATGACAAAGCACGTTCAACCATTCAATTGTACCTGTCTAAAGAGTTCTACGTGAGGTGGTGAGTGAGAAGACTGCGCCAGATTTATGGTCTGAGCTCGAGTCGCTTTATATGGCCAAATCTCTGGCGAACAAGCTGCGCCTGAAGGAGCGCCTGTACACAATCCGTATGACGGAAGGTACTTCGATTAAATCTCACTTGGATGAATTTAATTCTATTTTATTGGACTTGGAGAATATTGATGTTGTAATTGAAGATGAGGATCGTGCTGTTTTATTGCTTGTCTCTCTCCCTAAATCGTACAAGCATTTCATGTTAGACTAAAGTATCACATGCATCATATAATATGTGATAATAGGATCGACTAACCTCCAGCCATAGTTCTTGATACGGATGAGCGATCCAGACTGCTGCAGAGATAACGAGTATTTTGTCTCTCACTTTACTCAGCTCTCTCTAGATGGTGTATGAGGTATGTAATGTGAGCAGTGAGAGGACTAGTGACCTTATATAACCACTGGCCATCATTGTGGTTGATTGTCTTTAGGTCTCCTAAACCCTAACCAGACTCCTAATCATAATGGTAGTCTAGCTATTAGGTTATTAGTGTTGCACCACATATCAAATACTGAATATTATCATAACTCATCCTAATGTTATAATAATAGTAACGGATAAACGTTACATTCTCCCACTTGGTGCAAGCACTACCACTCAATAACAGAAAAAACACCAACCATAATGATATGGTCTCATTAGCACGAGTAGTATCCATTATGATCAAATGCAAACTGCCATTGAGCACTTAATTAGGAAACAAAACCCAACGAAATAAACCTTATGTTTATTCCAAGTCCCTGAAGTACATTTTCTCATCAATATGAAGCAAATGAAGGTGTACACACTTAATTGAGAAAATGTCTGAATGCCAAAGAATTTTAAACTGAATGTATATACAAATTCCATAGTGGGAAAAAGTCCCATTTTCTGAACCAGATCCTTGAATTTAACTGAAGGCATGCATTTAGTCAAGGGATCTGCTGACACCAACTCAGTATGAATGTGTTCAAAGAATATAACTTTATTTTTGACACGATTCCTAATTGCTAAGAACTTGATGTCGATGTACTTAATTCGACTCCCACTTTTGTGGTCTTAGCTAGGAAGACTGCAGCTGAGTTGTCACAGTAAACTTTCAATGGCTTAGATATGGAATCCATAATTCTAAGCCCAGAGATAAAATTCTTTAGCCAAACACCCTATGAAGTTGCCTCGAAACTGAAAACGAACTCGGCTTCCATGGTAGAAGTAGCTATTAAGGACTGTTTAACACTTCTCCATGAGATAGCCCCACTGGCCATAATAAAGACGCACCCTGATGTTGATTTCTGAGAATCAACACAGCCAGCAAAGTCCGCGTCTGAATGACCGACAACATCTAAATTGTCGGTCTGCCTAAACCCAAGCTTGTAACCTTTGGTTCATCTTAGATACCTTAGAACCCTCTTTACAGCTCTCCAAAAGTCTAACCCTTAGCTATGGGAGCAACATTAGATGAACAATTTTGCACATGAAATCTCTCTAAAACTTTGTTTATATAGGTTTCTTGAGATAAACCCAGTATACCTCGGGACCTATCTCTATGAATTTTAATGCCGATAACGTAAGAGGCATCACCCATATCCTTCATATCAAAGTTCTTAGAAAGAAATTGTTTCACGAAGCATCCCCTTATCATTGGTGGCAAGTAAGATGTCATCCACATATAAAACAAGGAAACAAATTTTACTCACACTCACCTTCTGGTATATACAGTCATCTGAGGGATTTTCAACAAAACCAAATGAAGAAATTACCCCATCGAACTTGATGTACCATTGACGGGAGGCTTGTTTTAAACCGCATATGGATTTCTTAAGCTTACATACTAAATGCTCACCACCCCTAGAAGAGAAACCTTCAGGTTGTTTCATAAAAACCTCCTCTTCTAGATCACCATTTAGGAAAGCGGTTTTCACATCCATTTGTTGCAACTCAAGATTAAAATGTGCAACTCATGCCAGAATGATCCGAAGTGAATCTTTCTTTGATACAGGAGAAAAAGTCTCCTTGTAATCGATTCCTTCTTTTTGAGTAAATCCATTGGCAACAAGCCGGGCCTTGTATCTCTCAATGTTGCCTAATGAGTTTCTTTTAGTCTTAAAAACCCATTTACAGCCAATGGCCTTGGCCCCATTAGGCAACTCAACAAGATCCCAAACTCCATTGTCCTTCATGGAATTCATTTCATCCTTCATGGCTTCTAACCATAAGTCAGACTGTGCACAATTTGTGGCTTGAGAGAATGTTTCAGGATCATTTTCAGCCCCTATGTCAGATTCTTGTAGATACGAAACATAATAACTAGGAACTGCTGATCGCCTTATCCGAGTAGACCGTCTTAAAGTTGGACCCTCATCACCTTGTATAGGCTGCGGGGCAACTACCTCTTCAGGAACTGGTGGCAGTTCTTGAATCGGTTCAGTCTGCATCGGCTCAGAATCTTGCTGTATATCCTGAGTTGGTTCAACCATTGGTTCGAAATCTAGTTCAGGCGGTTGCTGTAAGTCCTGAACTGGTTCTTCCAAAGGTTGATCCTCAACAGCTTGTGGAATCTGAACGGTAGGTGGTATATCTGCAGGCAGAACTAAAGGAGCACTGCGGATAAGTACCACCAGATGACGTAGAAGGGTGAGAGTCAATATGATCGAAAGAAGGAACTAAGTCCTTAAACCGATCACTCCCACTAATCAAGTCACCTTCAAGAAATTCAGCATTCCTTGATTCCACTATCCTAGTAGTATGAGATGGACAATAGAACCTATAACCCTTAGAAGATTGTGCATATCCAATAAAGAAAACACAAATCGTCCTTGGGTCAAGTTTCTTCTCGTGTGGGTTATATATCCTCACCTCAGACGGACATCCCTAAACACGCATATGTTGCAAACTCAGTTTCCAACCTTTGAATAACTCAAACGGTGTCTCAGGGACAGCATTGGTTGGAACACGGTTTAATATATACGTTGCCGTCTTAAGTGCTTCATCCCACAACGACTTAGGAAGCTTAGAGTTGCTAAGCATACTCCGCACCATATCCAGAAGGGTCAGATTTCTTCTTTCAGCTACACCATTTTGGTCCGGAGAACCAGACATGGTGTATTGGGCAACAATCCCATGCTCTTGAAGAAACTTAGCAAATAGACCCGGTGCTTGCCCATTCTCATTGTATCTACCATAGTATTCACCACCCCTATCAGACCTAACTATGTGTATTTTCCTGTTACATTGGTTTTCAACTTCAGCTTTAAATGATTTAAAGGCATCCAATGCTTCATGTTTATGATGAAGTAAATACACATAGGAAAAACTTGAGAAGTCATCAATAAAGGTGGTGAAATATTTCTGACCAGGTATTGTCATATCAGGACAACATATGTCAGTATGAATAATTTCCAACAACGTTGTACTTCTATTGGCACCTTTCTTTGACTTGTTTGTCTGCTTACCCTTAATGCAGTCAACGTAAGTCTCAAAGTCAGTATAGTCTAGAGTAGAAAGTACTCCATCCTTTACCAACCTTTTAATACGCTCAAGGGAGATATGACCTAATCTCCGATGCCACAACATTGAGGAATTGTCGTTAATACTGCACCGTTTGGTGCCGTTTAGAACATGTAAAGAATTGTAAACTGAATCATTCTTTAATTTAAGACGGAAAATACCATTAGACAATGTACCAGTACCAACACAAGTATAATAATGAAATAACTTGATATTATTGGTATTAAATTCAAAAGAATATCCGAATGGTACAAGTCTAGATACTGAAACTAAGTTCCTAGAAAAACTAGGAACATAAAATGTCTTTTCTAACGTCATTACAAAACCATTGTCCAAAACTAAATTGCAAACTTCGACAGCTTCGACTGGTGACGCAATCTTGTTTACAGAGAAGATGCTACACTCAGTTCCCGTTGGCTGTCTCAATTTTGTCAAATCCTGCAAAGAGTTTGCAATGTGGATTGTTGAACCAGAGTCAACCCACCAAGAATTAGTATTAACTTCTGACATATTAGATTCGAAACAAACAAAAGAAGATGGAACATACCCAAGCTTAGCCACAAGCCTTTGTTCCTCCATTGCACACATGGTTATCAACTCATTGATAGACCAGTCCTCTTTATGTGTGATGTAGGAAATCTTAAAAGGATTGTACTCCTGAGGGAGGGTATCAAGTGCAAAAAGCACCAAATAATCATCTGGTAGAATGATTTCCAACTCCTTTAATTGAGCCGCAATATCCCTGAGTTGCATAATGTGTTCACGCGTTCCCTTGACAGTGGAAAGACGCAAATTTCTCAACTTCATGATTAGAGTCATTGCCAAAACTTTCTTTGATTCAATGAAGTTATCATCGATAGCTTTGAGCAAGGGTTTCGCTTTCTTAATGTCCTCAAAGCAAAAACGAATTTTTTTGGAAATTCTTGACTTAATGAAGAGCACACATAATCCATTGGATTTCTCCCATTGTGCGCGAAGCTGCTTGGCTTCGCCAGTGCTTTCTTCAGTAACCTCAGGGGGTTCCTCATTGAGAACAGCGTAATCCAACTCTAATAATCTTAATTGCAAGAGAATAGCATCTTTCCACTCTTTGTGGTTATCTTCATTAAGGATTGGAACATTAATTTGTGTTTGGGTGACAGGATGAGTTGCTGTAAAGAATAATAATTAATGCTTGGTTAGAATTTTCGAGGCACAAAAAAATTAGAGAGAGATACTGAAGTACATAATATTACCAATGTAAAATTATGCAAAAAAATAAATTTGGATGCCATAAAAATTGCCTGTGGGCTAAATTTTTATGCATAATGAATTTACCAAAACTGAATGGTGGAAACGGAATGGGTGCGATTTTAATTTTTCCACTCTTAATGACAAAACTACCAAAACTATATGCCGATACATAATCCCTGTGGGCAAATTATGATCATAGCATGGTATTTCATCCTAATTAACCCTACAAATATAACAAAATTGCCTGTGGGCTAAATTTTGCCATATCACGCAGAGTGAATTACAATATTCTTGCATTAACTTTATGTGAGTAAAACTTAAATGTAATTTTGGAAAAATTAAAGATGCTGTGGCTACTCTTTAATTAACCAAAGAACATAATCACATTAGCAAGAAAACCTAATAAACAAACAGATTAAACCAAAATATGATAGACAATTCTTAGGTATACTCCCAGGAAAGTTGGTCGAGACGAAGCTCGGTTAAAAACCAGCTCCTTAGACAGAGTAGCGTCGCAAGGGGACTAGTAGCAACAAGGCGTTTAAGCCAGGGCCATAGAACTAGTATTCCTCCCCAAGAAACTTCCCTAATTCATGTGTTCTCATTTTTGAAGTAAAATCGTTTGAGAGATCTAAAGAGTAGTTTCACCTATGGATAAGGCTTTGAATAGGGTAAACTACGAATTGTTTATGTACTTTATGTGCTTTAGGAACTTTATAAAACACGAATGGAGTAATAACTGAAGAGTGAGTAATAATATGCATAATCTAACCTGAAAGTCACTAATTCACCTAAAGGCATTAAATCATGCAAAGCATATAATTCAGACCTAAAAGGCTCTAAATTTTCCTTAATGAGCATGCTTTTCTAGGCATATAATTATAACAGTCAAATAATTATTGCAATAAAGAGATACATAGCATGCTCAGATTATGCATATTACTCACAAAATACTCCATAATTAAATTGCAACACTTAATACAATTTAATCTGAAACATTATTAAATTAAAATTCAACTGAAAAATTAAAACTGAATAATTATTCAAAGTTGAATAATAATTTAATAATAGACTTAATAAAAAAATTTCAATTGGATAATTTAATTAGAAGAAGTCCAAATATGATGAAGATGTTAATCTGAATGAATTGATGTAATCCAAATATCAATTCAGGTTTGATCCAAAACCATAACAGGCCCAGATTAAAAAAAAATTATAATTTTCTTTTTTTTTCTTAATGAGCCCAGGTCTAGCCCAAATTGGGCCAGACCTGGCCCATTAACATAACATCATCATCTTCTTCAATTTTCTACCGTAAGCAGCTCCAACAGAAAAAATGGATGTCGGCATGAGAAAAAATGGCGAAGCAGTAGGCCAAAATAATTATCCAATAATAATTTTTTTTAATTAATTCTTAATGCGGAAAATTATTTTCAGCAGTCCAGAAAATTTAATTGCATACTCAAGAATATTTACACATGTATCTCAATTATATAACAAAATATATAAATGTGCAAATATTTAAGCAATTAAACAAACTAGGCAGAGATTATACAGGCAACTGATACCAACTGTTAGACTAAAGTATCACATGCATCATATAATATGTGATAATAGGATCGACTAACCTCCAGCCATAGTTCTTGATACGGATGAGCGATCCAGACTGCTGCAGAGATAACGAGTATTTTGTCTCTCACTTTACTCAGCTCTCTCTAGATGGTGTATGAGGTATGTAATGTGAGCAGTGAGAGGACTAGTGACCTTATATAACCACTGGCCATCATTGTGGTTGATTGTCTTTAGGTCTCCTAAACCCTAACCAGACTCCTAATCATAATGGTAGTCTAGCTATTAGGTTATTAGTGTTGCACCACATATCAAATACTGAATATTATCATAACTCATCCTAATGTTATAATAATAGTAACGGATAAACGTACATTTCAAAGAAATTATGCTGTATGGTAATAGTAGTGATACCCTTACTTTTGACAATGTTAAGTCAAACCTATTGTCCAAAGAAAAGTTTGACTTTGAAATTAAGTCTGAGGACAAAGGTGAAGGCTTGACTGTAAGGGGTCGTTCACTTGAAACAGAGAGTAGCAATAAAAAATCTAGATCCAAGTCCAAAGGACGTAAGTCCAACAAATCCTGTAAGTACTGCAAGAAGCAGGGTCACGATGTGACTGAATGCTTCAAGTTGAAAAACAAGCAAGAGAGAGAAAAGAAGTTTGCTGAAGCTAGTGTTGTTGAAAGTGATTCAGAAGGCGATGTTATGTTATCTGTTAGCTCCGGTGACAAACGGAGCAAGACTGAGTGGATTTTGGACTCTGGTTGTACATTCCACATGTGTCCTCACAAAGACTGGTTCGTCTCTCTGGAACCAGTTGATGGTGGAGTTGTCTTGATGGGTAATGATACCCAATGCAAGGTTAGTGGAATTGGAAGTGTTCAGATTAAAACTCATGATAATGTTGTCAGGACTCTTACCAATGTTCGGTATATTCCTGATTTGAAACGCAATCTGATATCCTTGGGCACCTTGGAATCTCTGGGGTGCAAGTACATAGCTGAAGGTGGAGTTCTGAAAGTCATAAAAGGCTCTCTTGTTCTCATGAAAGCTTCTCGATCTAGAAGCTTGTACGTGTTGCATGGCAGTACTGTGACAGGTTCAGTAGCGGTATCCTCATCGATGTCTGATGCAGATCTCACTCAACTATGACATATGCGTCTGGGGCATATGAGTGAGAAAGGCATGCATCTCCTAAGCAAGAAAGGCCTCATTGGTGATTCAGGTACGGGTAAATTACAATTTTGTGAGCATTGTGTTTTTGGGAAACAAAAGAGTATGGGGACCGACTAAATTCCAGTCTATGGGAGGCTGTAGATATTTCATGTCTATTATTGATGACTTTTCTCGTAAGGTCTGGGTCTATTTCTTGAAACACAAAAATCAGGCTTTTCCTATTTTCAAAAAGTGGAAAATACTTGTTGAGACTCAGATAGGGAAAAAGGTCAAGAAGCTCAAGATATACAATGGCTTGGAATTCTGTGAGTCAGATTTCAATGACTTCTGTGCGGCAAATGGAATCGCCAGGCACAAGACCTTGCCTGGTAAACCCTAGCAAAATGGTGTTGCCGAACGTCTAAACAGGACATTATTGGAAAGAGCTCGTTGTATGCTCTCTAATGCTGGGTTATGGAAACGACGTGATTTTTGGGCCGAGGCCGTTTCTACTGCTTGCTATTTGGTGAATAGATCTCCACATTCATCCCTTGACTTCAAAATTCCAGAGGAAGTTTTGTCAGGTAATCCTGTTGACTACTTTATCTTAAGAGTTTTTGGATGTCCTGCTTATGCTCATTCCAGTATGGGTAAATTAAACCCGAGAGCTGTCAAATGCATTTTCCTTGGTTATGCCTCTGAGTCAAAAGGGTATCGTCTATGGTCTCCTGATTCTCAGAAAATCATTCTGAGTCGAGATATCACTTTTGACGAAAATGCACTACTTTCTTCTAGAAAAGATTCCAGTACAAGTGAGACGCAGAGTACTGGTGATAAGGTGGAGTTTGAGTTCAGACCTAATGATAGTATTACTACCACTAATGGTAATACTAAAGATGATGCATCTACAAGTACCGCACCTCTCGTCGAGCCACATCGAGAGTACTCTATTGCCCAAGATCGGCCTAGGAGGACAATTAAAAAACCTGCTAGGTACGCTAGTGACGATGAAACCCACTTGGTTGCGTATGCTCTTTCAGTTGCACAGGAGGTTGATGGTGATCCATCCTGCTATTCTAAAGCTATTTCCTGTGCCAACTCGTCCAAGTGGTTGGTTGCTATGCAATAAGAGATGGAAAGTTTCCATAAGAATGAGACTTGGGAGCTGGTAGAATTGCCGAAAGGTAAACGCCCATTGAGCTGTAAATGGATTTACAAAAAGAAAGAAGGCATTCCTGGGGTTGAGAAAGCACGGTGGATGGCACGGTTAGTTGTTCGAGGTTTTGATCAACGTGAAGGTATTGACTTTAACGAGATCTTTTCTCTAGTTGTTCGTCATACTTCTATACGTGTTCTACTTGCTTTTGTTGCTCTTTTTGATTTGGAGTTAGAGCAACTTGATGTAAAGACTGCTTTCCTACATGGAGAGCTTGATGAAGAACTTTACATGTACCAACCTGAGGGATTTGAAGTTCCTAGGAAGGAACATTGTGTCTGTCGTCTACAAAAGTCTCTTATGGGCTAAAGCAAGCTCCAAGGCAATGGTATAAGCGGTTTAATGCGTGTATGTTGGGGCAAGGATTCTCAAGAAGCCAGTATGATAGCTGTGTCTATTTTAAAGAATTTTCTAATGGGTCTTTTGTCTATTTGCTTGTTTATGTTGATGATATGCTCATTGCTTCCCCTGATATGTCTCTGGTTGATGACTTGAAGTCTCAACTAAGCAATGAGTTTGAGATGAAAGACCTTGGTGCAGCAAAGAAGATTCTTGGCATGGAGATACACAGGGATCGTCAAGCGGGTAAACTTTATCTATCCCAGAAAAAGTATGTTGAGAAGGTGCTTGATCGATTCAATATGTCTAATTGTAAACCTGTGTCTACTCCACTTGGTGCACATTTTAAGGTATCCTCTGGTTCATGCCCTAAGTCTGATGTTGATGTGGCTTATATGTCAAAAGTTCCTTACTCCAGTGCTGTTGGAAGTCTTATGTATGCTATGGTATGCATTAGACCTGATTTGGCTCATGCTGTAAGTGTTGTGAGTCGTTACATGCATAACCCTGGTAAGGAACATTGGAACGCCGTTAAATGGATTCTACGGTACCTAAAGGGTACCTCATCTTTGGGCTTGGTTTTTGATCGAAATTCTTCTGCATCTACTAACATTGTGGGCTTTGTAGATTCTGATTATGGTGGTGATCTTGACAGACGTCGATCGCTTTCCAGTTATATTTTCACTCTTTGTAATGCTATCAGTTGGAAAGCTACGCTTCAGTCTATTGCTGCATTATCTACGACTGCGACGGAATATATTGCAGCCACAGAGGGTGTCAAAGAAGCTACTTGGCTACGAGGTTTGGTTATGGAACTTGGTGTTTCACAAGGTCAGACCGTTGTGTTCTCAGATAGTCAAAGTGCTATCCATCTCACCAAGAATGATACATATCATGCCAAAACCAAACACATTGATGTCAGATACCATTTTATTCGAGATGTTGCAGCTACGTGAGATATAATCATTCAGAAGATTCACACATTAGAGAATCCAGCAGATATGCTCACCAAGCCTCTACCTATTACTAAGTTCAAACAGTGTTTGAGTTTAGTCGGATGTTTCAGTTGTTAATCACCGTGAATTTGATCCAAGGTGGAGATTGTTAGAATATGGTTCAAATTATGTGGCTCTAATTAATGCATGAAGACTTTTTCCTCAACCTTCCGCATCGCACCGCATCACATGCTGTCCACCTCTCTTGCACGTTATCCGCCTTCTAATCTCCTCCTTACTATTGCCGCATAGCTCTCATTTTTGTTGTATAAATAGTGTCATAGCTTTGTAATTAAGGTATCATCAATATTGAATTCTTTCTTCCTTTCTCACGTATGCATTAATATATATATATATATATATATATATATATATATATATATATATATATATATATATATTATATTTTCCCACTTTATTAAATTCTTTCTGTCATTTATATATTTTCCCTATTATTTAACTTCTATAATTCTCACTTTTTGATTCTTTGCTTCTGCATTATTCCGCTATATTCCTAATAATAATAATAATAATAATAATAATAATAATAATAATAATAATAATAATAAACAATATGTTCATTTTCAAGAAAATGAACTAAATAGAAAAAAAGGAAAAATGTACAAATAAGTCATTGAACTATTTGGGGGATAACAATTAAGCCATCGAACTCGAATAAGCTTCAAATTCATTCATGAACCTGGAAAAAAAAAGAGTAATTAGCATTATTAGCAGGTTAACAACAGGTTTGCGCCGATTGGGTTGCCACGTGTATATTTTATTTTATATTTTATTATTTTTATTATCCTACTAAACATTTGACCCTTTTTTCTAGATGCTATGTTTCCCTGCTTTTATTTCCTAACGTGTCGGGTACTGTATTTAAAAATAATTTTAGTAATTTGAAATAAAATAATTATTTTCAATAAAATAAAATAAATAAAATAATTATTTTGAAATTTATTTTTTATTTTTTTTTTAAAAAGAAGCCTTGTCGGAGACGAAGAGGACCCATTGTAGAGCAGTATGGACTGATCAAAATTTTGCTAACAATGCTCATTTAAAGGTTTATCGGTATGCCGGCTAATTAGATGAGCGACAGCAGCGCGAGCCTAGAATGATCCACAATTTGCTCATTTCCAACTTTTACGGTGTTACGCACGTGCGCAACATTAGGCTGGATCATTCATTGATTTGTGCGCTGATTGAGCGTTGGCGTCCGAAGGTCCACGCGTTTCACCTACCCTTCGGTGAGGTAGGTATAACACTTCAAGATGTTGAAGTGTTATTTGGCCTAAAGGTTGACGACATTGCTGTTACGAGAGGTGTTCAACGTAGTAAAGAAGAATGGAAGGCATTG